CACAGAAATTATACATCCGGTTATTTTCATTTCATTTTGATATTGAACACCAGGAATAGCATTTCAGTAAGCTTCAATATGTCCATAATTAAACAACGTTGGTCGTGTTCTAGAGTAATGCTTGTATGATTTACCAAATGTTGTAAATTAATCCGACCGGACATGACTACGAATTTATACATTCCTTATATCCAAACGGATTGATGCCCCTCTTTAGCATTGATTTTGTTGACGGAAGGGCAAAATACTGTTTGACTATTTTCATATATCCAAATTATTTCCTATCAAAATAGGAAAATAATATGAACTGCAACATTCTCTGAACATTACGATTATATTTCCTATGATCTGGTAGGTAATTCTTCGATTAATAAAAGGTTATTTTCATTTGTAAGCAATGCTTCGATACAGCTGCGTGTGGACTGTTAGTACTCTAAGGTATTATTAGCCCAGTTTATAGTTCTTTGACAGTGGCATACTTTATAGCATATAGTTCTAGAATTTTTTCGTTTAAACACCCTCAGGCAAAGTTGACCTCAGATGGTTTTGGTCATATAGCTGCTCATGTATTTATACGCTATAAGCTTTCAATATGTTTGCTCTGATCATTCATGATAAAGGTAATGCCAGAAAATCTCTTCGGTTGTACCACATATTTCAATGATATTTCCATTTATAAGGACGAAGTCTTATCTTAATAATATTTTACCCGAACAGTTTCGGAATATACATGAATATAATACGCGTAATGCCTTTCAACCTATTGCAGCAAGAACAACATTATACTCTAACTATTTCCTCTCCTCAACAGTGAAATCCTAGAACTAGCATACTTTTGAACTACTAAATAGTTTGTCCTTTCTCGCATTCAAACATTATTTTAGAAGTAACCGTGAAATTAAGCCTGTATTTTATTATTGTGGTTCCCGGTCTAGTCAAATATATCATACAAGAATAAAAATGAACTGTAGCGGACTCAACAAACACCTCTATGACAGAAACTTGATACAATCCCCAAAGTGTTTTTGTGGAGACCCTGAAACAACGGAACACTACTTCTAAAAATGCAAAATATTCAATGAACCTCGTCAAAGACACATTCACTACCTACATTTTTCTATCAGAATTTCCAATAATGTCTTACTTTTTTTGCTCCGATAGACTAACAGTAGAATAAAATACACTTGTATTCAAAGCTGTGCAAAATTTATTTTTTAGTAGCAATCGATTAACATTCACAATCTAATAATTCTATTTATTCACTCCTCCCATGTATAAAGAACAATTATTCCTTTCTTTAATAACACTCTCTTTTATCTAAACACCTTTCGCCCCCTTCCTTTCCTATTTTATATATATATATATATATATATATATATATATATATATAACAAAAAGTAAAATCACAAAAATACCGAACTGCGAGGAAAATTCAAAACTGACAATCCCTAATCAAATGGCAAAATCAAAAGCTCAAACACATCAAACGATAAATAACAACTTATAATGTACTTTCTTTATGTTATTGTATTCACTGACTGTATTTTGTTACGTAAGTATTCGTTTGCAATTCAGCATGTAAACATAGTTTCGTAATTTTATTTTTGAATTTATTGAGACGAATTTATATAAGAGCACTGCTCTTGTTTACCAATCCCACTTATTAAATCACATGTATATTTCGTATCTATGTCTTTACTCTTGTAGGTATACATAACAATTTCTTTAATAAAATATGTTTATGCTTAGTACTAAGTCGATACTGCTACTTGTTGATTGTTATGTCCCAAAGGTATTATAATTAGACATAAGAAGATATGGTAACTCTCCATCCAAGTCACAATTTATAAAAAAGTAAACCATTAAAGGTCAAAATACGGCCTTCAACACGGAGCTTTGGCTCACACCGAACAGCAAACTATAAAAGGCCCCTAAAATGACTAGTGTTAAACCATTCAAACATGAAAACCAACGGTCTAATCTATATAAAAAACGAGAAACGAAAAACACGTATGACCCACATCAACAAACGACAACCACTGAACAACAGGTTCCTGACTTAGGACAGGTGCAAACAAATGCAGCGGGTTCAAACGTTTTAACAGTCGCCAACCTTCACCCTAACCTGAAGTATTAAGAACAAAGATATAATGAACATGTGAAAGCTCTCTCACAGGCAAACAACTCATAATTGTAAATTATAAAGGCATACACAACAAGCACGGGGACACATTCTACTGCATCCACACAGCACGAGCAACAAACCCTGCAGTTCAGTAGTCAGAGTTTCGCCACTGACATGACTGATATAACTTATAAAACACATGTGTTCAACTTTCCGTTAATAGATTAAGATATTTTATCGAAACCAAGGTTCTATCTTTGTTTAGCAAACTTAACTTTAGATAACTTTGGCTATTTGTTCAGGTGCTGTGTTTGGTCATATAGAAACGCAGTATTTTGGCAACCCAAGACGTTCAATTTTTTTGTCTTGAACATTCCTGATGAATGAAATTTCAGAAAATCGCGTTTTATTTGTACTAATTCCAACTGTGTCGACACCGCTGCTGGTTGACTGTAAGTCCCCGATGGTATCATTAGTTCAGTTGTTAAAGTTTCGCAAATGACAAGATTTATAACGTAATTCCTTCCTACATTTTCCGTTAATAAATTTAGAAAGAATTTAGAAACTTAGGTTTCAACTTCATTAGGCAAATCTGACCTTATATGGCTATATGTTAATGTGCCTTTTAGTCATACAGAACTTCAAATATTTATACACCCTATGCTAGACCATTTTGTCTTTTATATTTTAATCACTTGAAATCAGAACCGTCATAAACAACACAAATGTAAAGAATGTAGTTGATATTCAGTTCTTCTGAGACAAAATATACGAATATAACATGTATAATGCTTATTGAAAGTACCAGAAATGTTTATATTGTCACATTTCGAAAATAGAAGTTGCAACGGGACCTCTAACCTCCAACAATTAGTTTTGAGAAAATTGAATTAAATAAAGATCAAGAAATGTATTTAAAATTGTTTCTGGTCAAAATTGAAAATGGAACTAGAAAAATTTAAAGTGATGAAAAGTATTTAAACTTAGTCGCAGTTGTGTAAAGTGTCGAAAAAAAAGTTTACACCCGTAGGAATGATCGAAATATTAATCTTAACCACAAAAATGTTCGGTTAAAGACGAAAAACAGTAGACATCTAGGATTTATGCCACAGTAGTTTTGCACATGTCAATTTGAAAATGCTTGATTAATGCATACTGTAAATTTAGAAATTATTGTGAGGTTTTTATTATTGCAAATAATGCGATGGGGTGAGGATCGCAATAATAAGAACTCGCATTCTGATATCTGATACATATATTTTTAAGCAGATTTTCTAAATATCGCAAGTATTAATCTTGGATTCTTTCCAATTCTTCAAAAATTGCAAATTATAAATGCATTTAATTATATCTGCATTTACAGTATATAAAATATGGTGGAAAGTTCACTACATGCTCTAAAGAGCATGTGTTGTTCACATAGGTCTACGTACATCTTCATCACTGGACTCCATCATTATAGACTAGAATAAAATGAATGACAAAATTCACTTTTTTGTTGATCTTGAATTGCTGATTATTTTTTTCTATTTACAGTTTCTCTCTATCTTCTAAATTTTTCCAAAAACATTAAAAGGGTTCAAAATAGTCATTTAAGGGCAATACATCCTAAACATGCTAAAAGAGGACAACTGACAATTTCATCTATGGTTGCCTTTTTGCAAATTTTGTCTTGTGATCATATAAAATTTGTATCCTTCTTTCTAACCTATAGTTGCTAACATCTACGTCATTTGGTCTCTCTGGTGAAAAGTTGTATCATTGGTAATCATTCCATATCTTCTTATTTCTATAAAAGAACGAAACCTATGTATAAATTGTCAATAAAGGGCAATTAGTCATATAGGAGTTGACTGACGATTTCGGTTTGATTGGCATATTTGTAGATCTTGTCTTGCTGATTTTGTTTTGCAATTTAAACATAGTCTTTCTACAGTTATTTTAACGATAAAAGGCAAAAAAAAAAAAACAAAACAAAAAAAAAAAAAAAAAAACAAAATCTGGTAAAAATCATCCTTTTAGGGCAATAACCTCTATAAGAAGTCAACTGGCAATGTCAGAAAGTTCACTTATTGGTAGATCTTATTCTTAATGATTTTTTGTTGTATTAAAATTGTTATCTATCTTTTTAAAGTTTTCAAGATAGAGACAAACACGCAAAAAATTGTCATTAGAGGGCAATAACTCCAATAAGGAGTCGACTGATAATTTGGCCATTTGACTTACTTGAAGATTTTTTTCTTGCTAAACAATTTTGGTTTTTAAGTTTCTATTCATCTATTATATATTTCAGGTTTATAGCCAAAAAAGCATAACATTGGTAAAATTCGTCATTTAAGGGCAATCACTCCTATAAGAAATCTTATAATTGATTGTTGTTTGCTTAACGTCCAGTGTGAGAAATTGTATAACAGTATTGATGTTAATAGACAGTAGATTTTTTTTTGCCCTGTCAGATTTTCTCTATCTATAGTAGTTTTTCCGAAATTTAGACATTTAACCCCTATGTTCAATTTTATTTTTGTGCTGAGGCGGCGTTAAGCAAACTCTTATCTCTTCTGAATTAATCAATCAATCTATTTTTAGACATGTCGGCAATGTTGGTTGGACATCGGACATATTTTTAAAACTGAATACTCCAATGAAGATCTGGGCCATCTCTTGTCTAACATAAGTTGGTACATTGTAGTTTCAGAGTAGATGATTTTTGTTAACAACGACAACGGACGACAGACAATGGACGCCAAGTAATGGGAAAACTTACACAAGTCCTTCTGGCTAGGTGAGCTTAAAATAAAAATGTTTAAATTCATGGTATTCAACGTCAAATTTGCCAACAAGGTGCAAAATGCTCTGAATGAGACATTGTCCCAATTTTTGTTTCAGCTACAACCACTTAACAAATTGAGATCTGGCCAGTTATGATTGGTTTTCTTATAAAGAAATTAAAACAATCATAGGTAAGATTTATTAATACTGAATATTTTGGAATGTATCAGCTTTCAAGTCATTCATTCTTTTATGTGAGTTTTGTTTGTTCTGCCATAGCAATTTTGAAATTACTATTTATTTCGTCATCTTTAACATAAATATTGATATCTTCTGTCTGAGGTCTTTTGTACGTATCAGTTTTAAAGCAGACACTGCAGAGTTCTATAAAAGCACCTAATATCAGTGATAAACCTGAAAAAAATTGAAATAAAACAATGTAAATAATGTAGGTACTGTAAGCATACAATACATGTATATGAAAATTGGAGGTCAAATATTGAATTGGTTTTATTAATGGAGGTTGGTTCCGGAGTACATGGTTTTACCAAATAATATGTAGTTGAACATTTAAACCTCTATTCTTCTGTTATAAGTGTATTATTTTCGTTCAGTGTTTATAAATAAAACTATTGGATCCATTTGTAACCAAACTTAATTAACTTTGTGCTTTTACTTATAGATATAAGAAGATGTGGTATGAGTGCCAATGAGACAACTCTCCATCAAAGTCCCAATTTGTAAAAGTAAACCATTATAGGTCAAAGTACGGCCTTCAACACGGAGCCTTGGCTTACAACGAACAGCAAGCTATAAAGGGCCCCAAAAATGACTAGTGTAAAACCATTAAAACAGGAAAACCAACGGTCTAATCTATAAAAAAAACGAGAAACACTTATGAACCACATCAATAAACGAAAACCACTGAAAAACAGGTTCCTGACTAAGGACAGGTGCAAACAAATGCATAAGGTTTAAACGTTTTAACAGGCGCAAACCTTCACCCTAGCCTGAAACAATAGAGAACAGCACAACATAGAAAGACACACTATAAAATATCAATTGAAATGGCTTAACTCAATCAAAAGACATATTAACAAAAACAAGTAAACATACACTGAACGAATAAATTTGATCTATGACACAATGTAAATACAAAATTAATAAAAAAGGGAGTGAGATGTAAAACAATATCAGAAAGACAACCATAACATTGGACAAAATGTCACCAAATTAAATAACGTACACAGGTAAATAAAAATAATTATGTTGTAAGGTATACATGGAGTACGGAAATACTTTATACAAAATAAATAATCTTGTTGTTCATATTTTTTTATTTTATTAAGTTTTATTTTTTCTTGGTTAGTTACATTGTACTTATTTTCTTAAAATTAAATTACTATTGTTTTTAATTTGATTGGTACTATTTGTTCACATGGCAAAATGTTTTTTTTTTTGTTCAAATAAAGGTATTTTGCAAGAAGGTGAATAAAGACATATGAACTGGAATTTTGTTTATACTTTCTTATGAATTTATATCAAACTCTCAGTTTTTCGTATGAACTAAATAACCAGGAATCTGTTCTGTATAAACCCTTTGTATTTTTTATTAGATGAACGTTATAACTGGTTCACTTTGTTAGTGCTGTATGCGAAGAAGGATGCATAAAATGTATTAACACAAACAAACCAACTCCGCCGTAAGACTACCGTTCACTTGCCTTCCAGTCGTTATTTCTTGTGTTGTTTGTTTGTGTGACAGTTTTGTCTCAGTCTAAGTATGTCATATATTTCACTTGTTTTGTATTTTTCTTGACATCACATTAAATCACGTAATAAATGTTGTTACAGCGGTGTATTTCAAGTGACAAAGTGTTAATTATAACTTTGATTATAAAACTAAAAATATAATGCATAAAAATACAATGCATACTTCGAAAAAAAGAACAAACAAATTTATAAAAATATTATAAGAAAGACAATAAAACAAGCTGACACGAGGTAAAACATCTATCATTCTAAGAATAGATTATCAGTTTCCTTTTCCAATGCAACATCCAATAAGAATAATAAGAGTAAGCAAGAAAATATGTTTAAATGAATGTTGTCATGTTACATATAGATTCTACCACTGCATCAAGTGTGAATTGTGTGATACGATATTTCTCCACTCGAGACAATTAGATTTTCAAATTTAAACATTTAAAATTTAACTACAGTAAGAATTAAGAGTTCCAAGTGGTGAAGTTGAAATCATCCCTTCGTAAACGGACGCCATCACGAGTTGGTTGACAGTTACGGAATATCCGTTTCACAGATGATAGCGGATATGTTCCTAATGTCGTAACTACAATCCCGTCCCCTTTTCCCGAATGTGACCTACCGAATTAAACTTATTACCGGGTTTGTACTTAGATGAGCAACACGACGGGTGCCACATGTGGAGCAGGATCTGCTTACCATTCCGGAGCACCTGAGATAACCCCCAGTATTTGGTGGGGTTCGTGTTGCTCAGTCTTTAGTTTTCTATGTTGTGTTTTGTGTACTATTGTTTGTCTGTTTGTCTTTTTCTTTTTTAGCCATGGCGTTGTCAGTTTATTTCCGACTTATGAGTTTGAATGTCCCTTTGGTATCTTTCGCCCCTCTTTAAGAGCAATAGTTGTATGCCTGAACTTATTGACATGCATATTTAAACATCCTTACCTGCTATTACAAAGGAATCCGCGTAGCTTCCTCCATTGTCAATTATAAATCCTGGAAAAAGAACGGGTAGTTATAACGTAATGTCGAATCAGCTGAGTAATCAACTTAATTCATAGAAATGAATGTAAAGGAACAATGATCAGTTCTTTGATAGTTTCCGTCAATTTTATTCAAAACTTAGACCATGTACGATTCAGATCTCTAGAATTATTTTAGTTGTTTGTTTCGTTTGATTGATGTCTCTTTACCGTCATATCACATCCCCTGTTTTATTCATAATAAAAAAAAAAAATGAGAAGATGTGGTACTATTATAAGTTATATGGGCAGTAGTGAACCGTATAACGAATTTATCGCACGCGGGACTTTTTCTGCTGCGTTTTGTAGAAAAATAAACAATGAATTACAACAACATTAATAGATTACGTCACCATTAACAGTAGACGTGACGTCATGAACCCCTATGAAATTTACTAACCCCCTACGGATCCATAGGGGTTCACCACGTGACGGCGTAAAACCAATCACAACGTGATAATTTACCCGCGGTGCGATAATGCCTATTAGACAACTCTCCACCAGATAAGTGTATCTGAAACTACTAATCTACATTTTTATCATTGGTTTGGTTTTGCATGATTGTTAATGCCGAACGTACCATCTGCGTTATTCAGTTCTGACGTGTTTTAATGATACATTTCTATTGTTTATCATCGGGATCTGAAACTGTTGTATTTAACTTCTTTAGGCAAAGTTGATACAGGACGAATTTTGCTCCACTAGTATTTGGACCCTACTGGTTACGCAACACCAATCCATTTTTATATCTTTTGACTTTCCAAACATTTGACTCAAGCGTACCTGATGAAGGTCATCCAAGAAATGCATGTCGGGCACATGGAGATCGCTCACATTACTATTGCCGCTGATGTACTATGAGATACTTGGAATACCATCTACCGTCTACAGAGGCGGATTTAAGGGGGGCAGGGTGCCCGCCCCTCCCCCCCTTTTGTGGGAAAAATTTGGTTGATTATATAGGGAATCACTGAAGCATGACTGGAGCTGGCCCCTCTTATGCAGTCAGTGCCCCCCCCCCCCCCCCCCCCCCCCCCCGTTATGAAAATTTCTGGATCCGCCACTGGTCAATGCTTCAGTTTTTGTGTGATTTAAGGATACATATTGTCTCCAGAAAAATCAGATTATAAATAACAGGAAACAGTAGTGAACCGGTATTCCGTTTTGAAGAAGAACATCGAGAGAATAACCAAACAAATGGAATGAGAAAAAATGTATCAGCAGGGTATGCGTCTCGTTCAATGGTACGCATGAATCGCTTTACTAATGCTGACCCAGGTAAAAAAAAATCATGTAAGGGAATATGTCACATGGTAAAATTTTGTATAAACCCACTCCTAGATTGTGTGAGAAACTAACAACAGAAAGTTTTGAAGAATAGATAATAAACTGATTGAAAACAAAAAATGTCCATTCACACTGTTCAATTTCAAGGGAAATTCTATCCCGTCGATTCAATGGCGATCGAATGACATATAACTGACTTGATGCAGACATTTACATTCAATCGCTGATTGTTTGTTAGTTCCTAACGTCCAGTGGCCAATATGCATGTATGTTCACGGCGAGAACAAATAAACAATAAATACAATAAGTAGTTTCAGCAAGGTATTTGTCTATTGGGGTGAAGGGCAGCAAACTTTGACTACAACATTCAAATTAGGGCATGTCGGAAAGACACCTACCGACCTATCAAAGAGCTGTAGCAAGGGTTATTCAACGTGCAGAGAGATTGGCAAGAGACATCGGTTTTAACTTCACCAATTCTACCAGACGGGGCTGCGTATGTGTACATCCTGCACAGCCAAACGGACGTCCAATTTTTGAAAGTTTTTTTTAAGTCCAGGTAACCATTTTTCTATATCATAGTCAACCGTTGGGTTCATTAAAATTTCAAACTAAGTATGCATCTTGTCAGAGGATGACGGCTAACAGATTCTTAAAGTGACTTTGTAATTATTAAACGCGTAATGGCAAATGAACATATACTATTGAACCTGGACGTAGCATGGAATACTCCTGCATATGTGTTTTATTAAAGGTCTCACACAGAGCGTACATGCCGAATGTAACATCGTATTCATGCATCCCTCATTGCCAATCTGATGCTTCCACAAAAAAATGTAAAGGCTAATTTTGTATCTGCAGGAACAATGGTATACTTTCATACAGGATATGATCGACGCGCGTTGTATTTCTGCCTATTTTTAAGCCTCGTACCAATGAAATGCATTAAAGTCAAATTAAGATTATTTCATATATACATGTACTCGACTCATATAACGTTCTTTAGCATGAGTTGTGTTAGGGCTATTGAATGTGCAGAAATTCTTGAAACATATTTGTATTATAGTAGCATGTAGTCATCGCCGCAAATATGGAAACTAGAGGAGTTATAGACTAGGAGAGTTTTTTTTTGTTTTGTTAGGACGAGTACGGTACAGAAAATCTTGAGCATATTAGTAACGTAGCTATCGTCGAAAATAGAAAAATATAGCTTGTGCATGGAGACTAAAGACGAACAAACTACTTACCTGCTAATGGTGGTCCTATTAAAGTTCCTACTCCTATATATGCCATTACATAACCTGTGCCTTGTGCGACGTGATTAGGACCAGTCAATCGTAAAACAATAGTGTTAATGACTACGTAACAACTCCCAGAATTGGCTCCTAACAGTATAGAATAGAATATTTTCGCGTAATGTAATTTTATAAATAAAGGCAGTAAAATAGTAGCACCACCAAGAATGGAATATGTTCCGAAGTAAACTATATCTTCGCTAACATCCTCACTGTTTGTTGCCATTCCTAATAACACTCTGCCAACACAGCTAGAAATACCTGCTATAGATAAATACCAAGACACTTCTATTTCCGTAGAACTATTTTCCATTGCGTATGTTGGAAAATGTAAGTAAACAAGGAAAATTCCTACATTTAGAAACACTCCAGATATACACACACAAAGCAATGGTATGTTTTTGACAACCGTTAAATCACATTCACAGCACTTTTTATCCAATGTTCGTTTTTTAGTTCTTGCAATTCTGCTCGAAACTTCCAATCTTGAAGGACGCAGCACTGCTCCAACTACGCATGCGTTAAATGATAGTCCACCAAACAAAAGGAAGAATCCATTATATCCATATTCGTGATGTATCATCTGGTAAATGGGGCTTAATACAAATGGACCAATTCCACATCCTGCCACAGCGATTCCGGTTGCTATGTTACGCTTCTTTTCAAAGTTAAAAGCTAGGACAATATATCCAGTTGAATACATCAGACCTACTCCAAGACCTACGAATGATATATCTAATAGTAGATACATATAAACACCAAATATTTCATATATAAAAGTCATTTCACAATTATTTAGAACCATAAACCAATAGAACGACGTCATATTAATGTACGGAGACAAGTATACGAAATATAACTTAGGTTAAGTGATAGAATCTGTTAAATATTCAATGGAAAATGACGATTGCAATGTTCCAAATGGATATGGTGGGAAATTACACGAGGCAAATTTAAGCAACTGTTTTTTTTTTGTCTGTTTTTTTTTTAATGTACAATGTATCAACTGGTCAGAAATAGTAAAATGTGTACAGAATCAGTAAAATGTTATAGTCATCCATAATAAAATAAAATGTCTTCTTGAAATTGTTTTCATTAAACTAAGTGATATAATATTATAATATTTTGATTGTTCATTTTTGGTATATATATTCCAGAATTTTCACATATCGGGTGTCGTATCTTCATCTTCGTTTCATAAGTTTTTGTAGTCAGAAAAAACGCAGTGTTTTATAAAATACGGTCAATGTTGTAAGATTGCTCCCGGCTGACTTGGGGCAAACAGAACTTTGTCTTTAGTTTTTTATAGTTGTTTTGTGGTTTTTATATCGGATTACTTTAGCCCTTTTCAACTGATTTATATAGATTGTGCAAATGTTGTGATGATATACCGCTGTCCAAAGTTAGTTGAGGTTGGGCGCCCGCAAACATGTTCAACACGATACACTTTGTGTGTGCCTGTCCAATATCAAGAGCCTATAATTCAGTGGTTATCGTTTGTTGCTTTATATCATATTTGTTCTTCGTTTATTGTTGTGTGCCGTTAGTTTTTATCGTTTCAATAGTTTTACATTTTGTAATTTCGGTGCCTTTATAGCTTGCTATAACTTGCTATGCGGTATGAATTTTGCTCATTGTTAAAGGCTCTTACGGTGACCTCCTACAGTTGCTAAATTCTACGTCATTTTGTTTCTGTTGGAAAGTTGTCTCATTGGCAATCATAACACATCTTATTATTATACTGTTAGCGCTCAACCCACCAGTAACCTGGGAAAGTGTTTATTTCAGCAAATAAAAGATTATTGATATCACTTCAAATACCTGCTAAAACACCAAAAAATAGAAATGCCAGTATTATATGTTGCACAAATGCTGTGATTACCACTGATAACGTCAACAGGAGAGATCCAATTATCATTGTTACTCGACAACCCCATCTTCCGATGCAAAAACTTGCCAAAGGCCCTGTAATGGAACAGAAAAGGATATATATATATATATACAAGTCTAAATTGAAAACAAAGTTCAAACCTATGATTACGTTGGATAAAAACCGCAATTTTTATACGTGTGCATGCACAAAACATTTCTTGAAAGAGGGGTCTAAATACAGCATAAACAACATTTTCCAAAAGACCAAAAAAGTGAAAAAGTATATTTTAACAAAACGCATTTGACTAGCAGGTCGAACAACGGATGTTCTTAAACCCTGCTGACTGCCATTGACGATTGCCAAATACACGGATCACCAGATGTAACAAAATGGATCTTAATTATTAATTTAATACCAAACAAAAAACAATAAACGTGCGGAAAAGATGGTATACCGCAAAAAAAAAGGTGCAAAAATAATAATACCATATCCGGATTTCGACAATTAATGTCTCTTCAGTGATGTTAGGAATCGAAACGGTATTTGGAAGGCCATATAATTTACCTTAATTTAGGATAGACTCTTGAATTTTAAAGAGTCGAAATAGGATGAACGGATCATATAAACCCAAAGGCAAATATAATACAAGCACAAACGAAAAAATATACACAAGTCTAAATTGAAAACAACGTTCAAACCTATGATTGCGTTGGATAAAAACCGCAATTTTTATACGTGTGCATGCACAAAAAAATTCTTGGTAGAGAGGTATTAATACAGCATAAACAACATTTTCTTAAAGACCATAAAATTGAAAAAGTATATTTTAACAAAACGCATTTGACTAACAGGTCGAACATCGGATGTTCTTAAACCCTGCTGACTGCCATTGGCGATTGCCAAATAAACGGATCAGCAGATGTAACAAAATGGATCTTAATTATTAATTTAATACCTAACAGAAAACAATAAACTTGCGGAAAAGATGGTATACATATATATCTTTGTTCACTAGCAGAATTATTATATTAACTATAGATCACTGAACAGGGACGGATCTTTGATGTGATCCACGTTTATCATTAAACAACTGTACCAGATGGAACAAATCCAAAAGAATATGTGCGGATCTAGGATTTTAAAAAGGGGGGCTGACAAGCCGACGTTTGGAGTGATACTTGTAAAATGTTTATGCATTTATCATATTTGAAGCTCCATAAGGGGGACCCGGGTCCCTGCCCCCTAAATCCGCCTCTGAATTATACATATTTGACACAATATGGTAATATTTGACCTTTGACGAAATGAACAACATACAATTTTTGTTTTCAATAAATTTCTCATAAAGAATAGATATTATGCGTATGAAAAGTAGAGGTGGTATATTCAGGGGCCAGAACATTCCTTTTCTTTATGAATCTAGCCTTCTCTGTCGAATATTCTTACTACATGTAAAAAAACAGATTTTGTCTGCTCTATGGTCGGGTTGTTGTCTCTTTGACACATTCCCCATTTCCATTCTCAATTTTATTTGTATATGCCTTGCTCCAGTAAAATAAATGTTATTCCTCCTAAGTTATCACGAGAAAATGTTTTTGATTTAAATCATCCATTTATTACCAATAAAGAAAATTGGCTTATGATGTACTTTTCTTGCCTGTTTCTGTTACAAATATTCGCGTTTTCTCTTTTTTATTGTTTGAAATTTTTTGTTAACGTTTAGATAAAAATGAATACGGCGTAGTATTTTTTTAAAAAAATACATGGACGATATTTCTTAATGTATACTATATATACGGGTTTTGCTTATACAATAAACGACAATAGCAGGATCAATATGTAGGCCTCTTTACCGACTATTTAAATATAACCTATTATCAATATGAATGATCTTTACTATTGCATTAAGTAAGTATTTAAACACAAATAATTCACAATTTGTATGTATCAAAAAGAAATTCATTTGCGTTTAAAGTTACCCTATATATTGACCGTTTAAGCTTAAATCTTATTTTCTTAATTCGACATACATGAAAAACGTATTAGATATATCAGAAAGCCAAAGTATATACATGTATGCATTATCTTCTCTGGGTAAGTCCCCCCGAAATAACCACATTGAAGTTATAGACTGCCATGAACATGACTCAGGACATGTACAGTGTAGATAAAAAAAGATTCCAATTGCGTGGCCGTTGTTATGGTTCCAGTAAAAAATCAGTAAACTGTGAAACACGGAATCAAAGGCCTAAATAACGAAGGCGGAAAGGAGATTGTGTATATCCCGTGCTGTTTGGTTTTACCTTTAACATGTATCTATTGAACCAAGAATTTCTTGCTGACTAACGAGTACAAAGAAACTTTATATTTTCCTACAATGTTCGAACGCTTAAACGTGCAATTTTTACTTCACAGTCGTTGACTGTATTTTTTAATGAAATCGACATGGCTCGAACCCGAAAAGTGATGAGAACTCCATGGTGAACTGAGGCGTAAACAGTGATTTGTATGTTACCGTTCGCTCACAAAGGAGCAGGATATCAGGAGGCAATATTTTTATATGAAATGACTGAATAATAGTCAACGATAAATCTTACGGGGCGATGGATCATATAATTATGACACAGTACACTACAAAATATAATATATAACCAGTCTAAAAGGGTACAACATCACCAAAAAATAACAAATGTAACTATAAATATTTCGGATAACAGATATCCTTCATCAGTATGATCACGATGTAAAATGAATCTTATCAATCTATTCTGAGTATAAAACTATAGCAATCTTGAATTCTATACAAACAAACAGTTTTACCAGAACATCATAGAGACGCTAGTACAATTCTAAAATTTCCAAACACGGCGCAACGACATACCTTAAATAAAAAAAGTTAAATTATTTGCGATATGAGCTAGCACAACTTAAAATTCCAAAGGTGACGACAGTTAAGATGTTACAACAACTGCGTGGAAATACATTCCCAATAAACAGCACTGACCGATCTAAGCTTGTATAATATTTCAAATTTGACAACGGTAGAGTAATTAAAACAGAGGCTGCATATTTAAACACCCCAAATAAATAGCAGTTTGATAATGATAAGAAAATAATTGAACGTGACTGCGTACTTTTACATCCATCCCAAATGAGTAGAACTCTGTAATTAAAACTAGTATAATTAAAAAAATCCTTAAAAATGTAGGAGTCTAGTACAGAAGCCGGAGTTACTGGAAACAATTGATGGCAGGAAAAAGAGTGATGGTAGGGAAAATGAGTGAAACATTCTATGTTTTTTCATTTATGCCCTCTGGGGAAACTGTCCTTAGCTTTCTTATCCAAAACCTTTCCCGAGCAAGTCTGTCGGCCCTTGACCAACCCTCGTTGGACCTCCCCGTAAGTCGTCATTTGAGATCACCTGGGCACGCCCAAGCTGATCTCAAAAACCTTACCATCACAATCATAGACCACAACGAGGGTTGGTCAAGGGCCGACAGACTTGCTCGGGAAAGGTTTTGGATAAGAAAGCTAAGGACAGTTTTCCCAGAGGTTGCTATAGTTTTATAATCAGAATAGATTGATAAGATTCATTTTACATCGTGATCATACTGATTAAGGATATCTGTTATCCGAAATATTTATAGTTACATTTGTTCATTTTATTGTTATTTTTTGGTGATGTTGTACCCTTTTAGACTGGTTATATATATATATATATATATATAAGTATACAGTACGACGCTTCGGTTTGTCTGTACCCCTACATTGCATATTAGACTGGTTGGGTTTATTGCAGGATAAATCAAATATTTAAGACTAAAAACAGCGAATTACAAATTTATTTCATCGGTATTACTGTTTTTAATTTCCTTAAAATAAACAAATCTCCTGATTTCTCCATTATCTGTCAAATACAGCGAACTCTGCTTATCCATACTGGTAGTCTCGTTGTAGCGTGTTCGAGTGGGGGAGGTCGTGGGTTCGAGCTCTTAAAATTATGTATTAGTTGTTTCTACGCTTAGCACGTGGCAGCCAATAATGGTCGGCTCGGAGTCAGAATGTTGTGTCCGATTGGTGAAATGTTAACTTGCGAACTGTTAACTTGTGAACTAGCACGTTGAGCTCAGCATGTCGGTTAAGTACATAGCAGGGTTTATAATCATATTGCATTGACATGTCTCGTGGTGGTACGCATGTTATATTTGCCACTGGACGTTAAAGACCAATTTGTCATCATCATTTTAGATTAAATATAAATGATTAAATATTAACGATATTTATTCCAGTTTCAATTAGGTACATTGAGAATTAATTTAGTTTTATACATTTAAACAATGTATTTCAAAATAGATATATAAAGCTATATAGTTCAAACAATTGCCCGATAAAATGCAGAAGGACTTATCACTGTTAAGTGAACAATAATAAAAGCACCGTTCCTTTGTAATACAAAAGTATAGGTGCTACATGAGATTGCTGCCATATAAACACCCGCAACACACACACGTACACCAGTATATTATTTTATTTCATTCTTTTTTCGTAGATAAATTTTATGAGTATAGAAATATGTTGCTTATAGAATTTAAGAAATAGCCACAACAATGAAAGCTTACCCAATGAACCATGAATATGAGATCAAAGTAAACTAAATCTTCCAGAAAGATATGTTGTAACACCTTACAATCATTATATGCACCAAATAAAATTGAATAAGTATTGACTTAAGTGTCTGAAAAACCAATTTAAACCACAAAAACTCGTATTGACCCACGAACTATGAAGATGAAGTCAAAAGCAGTTAAAACTTTCCAATCAGAATTTTTTACCTAAGGCTTACAACCATTATAGATCCCATATATAGTTGAACAATTGCTGAAAGTATCTGATAAAAAGACCAAACCATGAACATCAACATTAACCAATAAACCATGAAAATAAGGTCAATGTCAGAAGAAACCTGCCAGAAGGACATGCACATCTGACAATCATTCAATACACCATATTATATATAGTATAGTTCACCTATCGATTATAGTATCTAAGTTACGAACTTACCACGAAATTTTGACCTTGATCACTGATCCAT